GCTGGTCTCGAACTCACAGAGATCTGCCTGCCTCTTCCTCTAGAGTTCTCGGATTAAAGGAATGTGCAACCACACCTGGCTACTAGTACCTTTTAAAAGGGGCTCTGTGTGATCTGGTAGGTGTTTCATTATTTTATCCACTGACCAGCAATAACACTTTGGACCGAGTCTTTTGCTTGTTGCAGGCATAAAATGAAGAGAGAAGGAATATCTGTTCAGGACATTGTTGGGGAAAATGAAATCGTACAGATGGAAGCATTTTGAGAGAGCTACACATCATATATCTACGCATGGTTTTCTTTTTTTCTTCTTCCTCTTTCCTCCTTTCTCTATCCCCCTTTCTTCTTTCCAACTGTCTTGTATGTAGTTTCAGTGCATATGCAAATAAAGGCCTTTTCAGTGGGTCCATGCAAATATTAAGTTATGGCTCTGACAATCCAAAAATCCCAGGAAGTCTGGAAGTCAGTGCTATATAATTTTCTAATAGTGCTTTTTTTTTTTTCCTCCAGCAGACTAACTTTCCTAGTAGTTTTGCTCAAGTTAAAGCACAAGGTGTGGGGCCACGCTGGAAACAAAGCCAGCAATTAATAGAAACATTTATATGAGCCACTCCACAAAGTAAACGCTATGCATATGACTGCAGATCAAATTCTCATTTTATTATGCAGACCTATTAGTCTACTGTAATGAAGTTTTGTAATAAATACGTCAGTAACACTCACATTTTGTGGATCTAAAATGTCAAGAGGAAACAGGGCTTGTTCCTGCCTCATCTGGCAGCTCTGAGAGGGGGCAGAGTTCCTCCATGCCTTGGTCACCACTACCTTCCCAGCACTTGGCACAAGACCTAGTAGAGTCAGGGCCCGATAAATAAATGTTGAATGAATGAAAACAGCAGTGGGTGAATTGACAAATGAACTGTTCCCAAGCAAGTAGCAGAAGTGTGATCTCACCCATCTTCACACCTACCCTTTTCCCATCCAGAAGCCCTCAGAAAGCCTCTCCTATCACTTACAACCTTCAACCATAGCTGAATTACTTCTGCTGCAATGACTTCTCATTAAAGGGCAGTAGCGCTCCCCTTTAGCACTTACAATAATGATAATTAGAGAGTTTTTAAAACTTCATCATTGTGCAAGTATTTGGAGGGGTCATTTCCATGCCATGGCATTCATGCAGAGGGTAGAGGGTTTTGTTGAGTCTGTAGATTCTAGGGATCAAACTGAAATGTCAGACTTTCATGGCAAGTGTTCTTTATCCACTGAGCTCTCTTACCAGCGCTACATAAAGATTTGATAAAGATTTGTGTCTGCCTCTGCCATTAAAGAGGAAACTCCTTTGAAGGAAGAGGCCATACATGCAGGGTAAGCACTGTAACACTCCTCTAATATTTCTCTCTCTCTCTCTCTCTCTCTCTCTCTCTCTCTCTCTCTCTCACACACACACACACACACACACACACACACACACACACAAACATAACAGGGTTTCTCTGTATAACACTGGCTGTCCTAAAGCTCACTCTGCACACCAGGCTGACCTCGAATCTTCAAATTCATAGAGATCCGCTTGCCTCTGCCAGCTAAGTGCTAGGATTAAAAGCATGCAGCCACCACATCCAGCTTCTCTAATCTTTTTGACAACACTTATAGGCACAGAAAAATTGTGAAACTGTATAATAATTGCCCATATTCCCTTGATTTGGATTCAACAGTTTTTCACTATTTGGTGCCATGTAAACTTTCTCCAGCAATATATCTTCAGGTAGATCTATGGGATTTTGCTCCCCTCCCATTTTTTGAGTATGATTATTAGTTTTATTGATTAAGGATTAAGGAGGAGCTTCAAGACGGAAACCATGAGGTAACTGCTGTCAGAGCATCTAAGACAGAAGTTCCAGGCTAACCTTGTCTCACTGACAGGTGAAAGTCTGTCTAAAAACAAAGACGGAATGGATAATTGTCACTGATTGTGAGACCAGAATGCAGAAGCAATCTTCTCTTCGATGGCAGGTGGCAGCTTTAGCAGAGCTGCTCCAGGCCAACCCTGACTATGACAACTCTTGCAGTCCTTGAAAGATCTTTTCTTATGGTCAATGGCTTGATAGACTGTATCTGAAAAAAGCAACAGTGTTCACATTGTAGGTATGATTTGTTCAAGCTAGACTCAACCACACTGTGCTTTCTGAAGGACAAAACTCACAGTCTGAACCAAAACTGCAACATTGAGCTGAGAGACAGAGCTTTTGGAGACTGCACTGTGTCTTCCTAGGTAACCTTAGATGAGTCAGTTATGTAACCTCTCTAAACACAGAACAATGACAGTTCAGGTCACCTCACAGGTAGGAAGCACCCTACAGATCTTTTATTAATTCTTTAATTGTGTCTGTTTCCACAATTTGTGTCTCCAACTAGGATAGAAGCTTGAAAGTCACGAACTATGTATTCTACTGTTATTTTGGTATAGTTGATAAGGGCTGGTCATAGTATTGTTTACATCAGTCAAGCAAGTACTCAGAGCAACAGTGGAAAAAATAGTGCTGCCATCCAGAATCCTTTTCTGCTGTTCGTTCAAATGGGATGCAGCTGAACTATGAAATTCCAAGGTGAAGACATACTCAAATGTAGGCCCTACTCAACAATTCCCATGCCAGTTTTACCACTAACAATATTTGACCACAGTGATCCTCCAGGGACTCTGTGAAGATACCCAAACACATACACTAAGACACTAGTCATAAGGCACCATGCCTCAGAGTTTACTAAGAAGAACTTCTAAGCTTGCAACACGTAGCCTGGCTCTCTGGTCTTCTCTTTCCAAGCCTTAGACACATATTCCTTTGAAGAAACCGGAAGCATCCAGTCACCCAAAGTCTCTTGAGTTAATTCCAGCTTCCCCTGGTGAATTACAACTTCTTGCAGACACAAAGGAAAGCAGAGAGACAAATGACACATAAATAAGAGCTTCACTGGCTTGGGGGAGGGAAGCATGGTGACTTTTCCCAGAAACCCATTTATCATGATAACAAAGTCTCAAGTGTTTGGGCTGCTCCAGAATTTGACATACAATTATGTTTTTTCAGAATACAATGTGGTAAGGGCAGCCAGAGCAAACTGAAATCACTGAAAGCCAATCAAGGGACCCCAAACCACACCTTGCAGCCCCTGCCCCAATTTGCAGAACAAAGGTGGTCTCAGGATTGCTTTAGTTGTGCCTAAAGTGAAACAACCATATGAAATAAAACATCAACTTTGTAATCCTAATCCAGGCAAGGGAGACTGATGAAGGCAGGTCAATGCAAACTCATTATGACAAGAAAAGAAATCTTTAGTTTTGGGGTGTTTTTTGGGTCATGAAGGATAGAATAAGTGCAATCCAGGAAACTGATTCATCTACTAAAACTATGACATCTTGAAAATGCACATAAGAAAACACCCTGGTTGTCCTCAAAACACTATAAGCAATAAATATTACAGTGTCAATTTTGAGCAATCTCTCAAATTCTATCATCATCAGGCACTGTCTCCTGTCTGCCCTTGCCTTCCATACCATGACTGCATAAGAAACTATGTGCTGTGATGTACACAGAATAGATTAGGTTTCAAATAAACCACCATGATTTTCCAAAGCCAGACAGGAAATGGAATAAATTTCTTTACCTGTAGAGAAAAATGTTATCAGATTCTGGATTCACATTTAGAAAACATATGAATTGCAATTACACCAAATACCTAGAGGCTGCTTCCCACTCCCTCCTTTTGCACTGGAGTCACATTGCACAGGATATTTCTCTAAATAAATGTGATGTTACAGGGTTATCATTTTTTTTTAATTTATCCAGCAGTATTTGGGGTAGTGGGCTATGCTTGGCCGCCTTCTAACTCATTCTGCTTCAGCTTATTGCTTGTGGAATAGAAGAACTAGGTTGTTCCCCCCCAAATTGCATCTTCCTTTGTAACCAAACTTCTGATCGAGAACAAACATGGAGCCTCGAGTTCTTAGATATGATTCCTCTGCACAGCCCAGGCTGGAAAACTTTAGTTTTTAAAATGATTTTTTTTTTCTACAGAGTTGGTCACCACCAAAACAGAGTGAACACTGCTTCTTCAAGTTTCACAGTGTTTTCTTCGGTCTTTCGAGAAAGATGTCAGCTCCACAGGTTTTAGCATGTAAGCCCATGTACACTGAACCCAAGACAGACCCTCAGAGAACCATTCAGAAAAGTGCCAAAATATGCAGCCAGCCACCTACAGGCCAGGGTGTACGGTACCCTTCCTGCCCTTCCACTCACAAATGGGACCCTGCAGGACACGGCACAAGTGGACACAGAAACATTCGAACACAGGAACACACACCATAGAGGTGAGCACATAGAAACAGGCCAACTCATTCAGGGTCACATAACCCTGCCACAGAGAAGGCAGGAGGGCACACATGCACATATATGCCCACACACTGATACACACAGATGCAGTCACATATGTAATGAATATGGAGAAACCCTACTCCAGCCAGTCATCTCCCCGCCCCCCTCACCACACTATGCCTTCGGTCCAGGCTACCCCTAGCTCCGAGCCCCCTCTTTCTGAACAAGCTGGAGTCCCAGAAGGCAGCTGTGATAGGGGCTCTGCCAAGCTAAGGGGACGGGGATCTGGAGGGCTTTGGACTCATGCAGCCATTCATTCGGCAACGCCCCAACGGCAGGGCCGCAGCTGCAGCAAGGGAGGCGGAGGCGCTCACTGCAGCTCTCTCCCGCGTTGCAAGTTCAGCTGCCCGCCAGTATGCTTTGCCAACAGCCCCCCACCCTCCTGCCACCACAGGTCTCCAGGACACCCTAGGGGTATAGTGGACTTAGCCGCTGACCCCGGGAACAAAAAGTCCTGCTTTGCCTCTGCTTCTGGATGTTACCATACTGCCCTCCTCGTGGTCAAGTCTGCTCGGCCGTCCCCAGCCCCCCACCTTCACCCCCTAGACCAGGGGCTTGAGTAAGCACTCACTACCTGGCGAGCTATATCCGCAGCTGCCATCTCTCCTGCTCCTTCGTCCGCCAGGGCTGCTACAGCTGCTGCACAGGAAACAGAGGAGCTCCTCCGACAAAGAGAAAGTGTTACACTTCGGGCGCGACCAAGTCTGGTGGGGGGGGGGAGATGCGGGGAGGGGCCCCCTCACTGCTGCTCCAACCCCAACCTCTCCTCTATTGCCCAACCCCTCGGAGTAGGGTGTGGGAGGGGACCGATTGGCTGCACTGTCTTCCCCTAAGGCGAACCCAGTTCCAGTTCTCTCTGCAACCCTAGCCTCTGCCTCTAGGAAGGGGGCGGGGGCTCCCCTCGGTGACCACGTCCTCTGCCCCACCTCCCTGCCGCTACTGGGCTTCGTGGTACCTCCCGACCTCTGCTGAATTCACATACACACACACACACACACACACACACACACACACACACACACACACA